CCGAAGCCATCTTCTTCCGCCCAGCCTGAAACACGACTTTTCAAGGTCGTTCATGCCGACTCCTTCGCATGTTGTGGTATGTGGCACTTTCAAGCCTGACTTGGGATCGTTTACTGCGAGCTCGCCCAACACAGTCATGTCTGCGTGAGGACAGAGACGACCTCAGGTCATCTATGGGCATGGCAGGGTTAGCAACAGCTGAGCCTCTTCCCGGCTCCGAGTCTCGCAGCGCAATGGACGATAATTACCCATAGTGGGGTCCTACCCCGACTTTGGGTGGGTCTAGAGCTGCCATCAGCGATTGCCATGAAATCCAAACCGGCATGACAGGTGCGATCTTCGACTTGATGCCGTCAGGTTCTAAGGATGGGTTTGAGCGCTCAAGTAGCAGCTTTTCGCTGTTGGCTCCAGGCTTCACTCAGGATTCGAGGTAGGTTTGACGAATGGACTCGACATTGTTGCTTCGTGGCTCATGCCCAGTTGCCAAACATCCAATATTTTGCATAGCTAGAACCTGAAGCACGGCTTGCTAGCGTTGGAAGGAAGAAGTGACATGATGCTGCCCACTTTTAGCAAAGTCGTTCGACTCACGGTCATGGTCATCATCACCATTTTCAGATCCTTCTTCGCAGTGGCCGTCTAGTGACTTGTGCATTCTTCGCATCTTCAGTTCAATCTATATCTGAGCCCCTTTTCAGGCACCTATTAGTCTAATGTGGGTTTGCCTGCACAGCCCGAATCCGCCCCTCATCTCAGGACCCGAAACTCCAAGACCCCAAGCGCAAGCTTAACACGCTACACCTTGACATGGAAAATAACCCAAACTCCAAAGCCTAGACTCTAAACTCTAAACCCCTGATCTCTAAACTTTAAACCTTAAACTCTAAACCCTAAACCGGCACCGAACATGCTTCTCCAAACCCAAATCAGCTGCCCTAAGGCTCCAGTAAGACCCTAATGTAGGAACCTGATGGCCCTATAACCCCAGTAGGGTTCTTACAAGGAACCCATATAAAGTCCCAAGGTTTCTTAATCAGGTTCCTACATTATTATAATACCCTTATAGATCCTTTATAGTAACCCTTATAGACCCCTTTAAAGGAACCCTTATTTAATCAGGTCCCATTACTACATTATGGACTTCAAACCCTAACTCCTCAGCCCTCCACCCTAGAGGCTAAACCCGAGGCAATCCATTGTCTTACAGAAGACGAAATAGGCATGTATATTGCATGTATATTGCATGCATGTATGTATGTATGTATGCATGTATATATGTATACATGTATGCACAGATAGCAGATAGATAGATGGACAGATAGACAGATAGATCGATAGATGGATAGATGGATAGATGGGTAGATAGATGAGTAGATAGGTAGATAGTAGTAAGAACAAGAACTATTATCCTACAGTTCTTGCACATTTGCAACAGCGGCGGCACCTTGGAAGCCTCCGCCCTAAACCCCTATAAACCCCTAAATCCTAAACCCCTAAACCCCCAAACCCTAAGCCCTAAACCCTAAACCCCTAATAAACCTAAACCCCTAATAACCCTACGCCCTGTTTAAGTGTCACAGGTCATCACCGTAGCGGATGCGAAGAACCTTCGGGGCCGCCTCGATGACACCATCGAGGAGGGCAAGGCTCGAGCAGCGGCTTTAGATGTGGACTGTACCATACCAAAAGATAGCTTGATGTAATACACTAGAACATGGAATATATATATATATATGTGTGTGTGTGTGTGTGTTTGTTGAGGTATAAATATAGATATAGAGCTTTGGGGTTAAGGGGTTAGGGTTTGGAGTTTACGGTGTCGGGTTTAGGGTGGAAGGTTGCTGGGTTTGAGGGGTATACGTGGCGTTAAGTTCAGGGTTTATCTAGGGGCTGAGGGCTAAGGATTAATGTACGGGTTTATGTTGGGGTTGTGGGGTTTGGTTTGTGTGAGTGGGTCAGGACTTTACCCGTCTCAGACGTGGCGCTTCCAAATGCAGGCTGCGAAGTGGCATCGACACCGGCACCGACAGTGACGACCACACCAACACCAACACTCGGGCCCATGCCCACACCAACACCAACACTAGCACCAGAACCAGCACCAACGGCAACACCGCCACAAATGCAAACATCGCCAGCAGTACCAGCAACATTAACAGCATCACCACCACCAACAAGAACGACTATGATGACGACAGCAGCAACGACAACGACACAGCAATGACACCGGCAATGCCCCAACCACAACAACACCAGCAGCAACAACGAGTACTGCTACTTCTACTGCCACGTTGCTGCTGCTACCGTCAGTGCGACTACGACGGCGTTTGCGGCTACGACTCGGGCTGCGGCTCCGACGGCGGCTGCGCCAGCGACTGCTACTGCTAGTGCTACCGCCACTCTTGCGGCTCAAGGTGTTCTTTCTTTCTGGGCGTGACTGATGTGTCCTGGGCAGGTGTGTGCAAGCGCATCGAACAAGGCAGCAGCAACTTCAATAGCAGCCGCGGCAGGACAAGTAACGACAATGTAAAGATCGAGCTTCAGGCAGATCATTACTGCCAGTAGTACCTGATGCATAGACGTGATCAAAACTAAAGGACAAGGCTCGGGGTAAAAGCCATAGCCATCGCCAAGCATTGCCCGTCCAGGTAAACGAGGCATTCCAGCAGATTGCATTTGCGGATAAGGCGGGCAGTTGGATGAGACATCTTTGCTTGGTCAACAAATGTCTGTCAGGTGGGATGCGGTTTTCGGTTCTTCTTGTCTTGCGCGTGATTTGGTTTATAAATCCAAGACCAAAATGTCTAAGCGGTGTAATGTAGGAGCCTGATCAAAGAACCCTGGGCTGATAACCCCAAAATAGAAGGATTCACAAAAGGAACCCTAATAAAGGCCCAAGGTTTCTTAATCAGGTTCCTACATTATCATTGCCCTGTGCCAGATCATCCTCAACAAGTTGGACCTGGTCACGTCTGATCAGGCCATTAGCATCAAGGCTGGGCGCGTGGGTCGTTGACTGGCATTCTTTCGGTACTGTAGTGGCCTAATAATTAGAACAGGGTTTTGGGGTTCCTTTCCATAATTGAAAAGAATACCCCCCGAAACCCTATTCTAATTATAAAGGCCCCTGCAACACAGGGGTGTAGGAGTTCGGGTGTGCGGTAGTCCGACGTGAAGGGCATGATGGTCTTGGGAGTGATTGGGAGTGTGGGGCCACAGCCTGGGACCTCCATTCATAGGGTTTAGGGTTTAGGGGTTTAGGGGTTTAGGGGTTTAGGGGTTTAGGGGTTTAGGGGTTTAGGGGTTTAGGGTTCAGGGCGCCTGCCCAAGCGCTGACAAGCAAAAGCCCCGAAAAGCCTGGAGAACCCAGCCCTGAAGGGGAGAGAGATGATCAGTGCATCCCTGCCTAGATGATCCTTTATTCGATCTTCAAGTTCAGGAGTCTACTTGGAGGATCATGGGACTTAGTAAGTAAGGTTATTAGTACCTTAATTGGTGTTATAAGTAGTTATAAGTAGACTTACCAATTATAACTCTAGTTGCTAAGTCCCGTCATGCTTTAAGTATAAGTCTTCGCATTCAGCATTCTGAGTATGACAGCATTGCTTGCGTCTCAGTCCGTTGCTGGTTTGGTGGCCTGTCCAAGTCAGACTGCTTGGAGGATCATGGGACTTAGTAAGTAAGGTTATAAGTACCCTAATTGGGGTTATAAGTAGTTATCAGTAGACTTACCCTAATTATAACCCTAGTTACTAAGTCCCATGATCCTTTAACGTTTAAGAAACGTTAGATCCCTTTAAAGAGCCCTTATAATACCCTAGTTACTAAGTCCCATGATCCTTTAAGTGGACCCTGAACCCTCAACCCCATAGATCCCTCTAAGGAACCCTATAGATCCCTTTAAAGAGCCCTTTATTATAACCCTGACTAAGTCCCATCATCCTTTAAGTGTGCAGGAGAAGATCAGGAACATCAACAAGTATGCGAAGATCGTGCCGGCAGTGAAAGGCCGAGTCAAGGCTGGACGGTCATGAACTTTTGGGTTTAGGGTTGAGGGGTTTAGGGGTTTTAGGGTTTATGGCTTTAGGGTTTAGGGCTTTAGGGTTTAGGGGTTTTGGGGTTTAGGGTTTAGGGTTTTAAGGTTTAGGCTTTAGGGTTTAGGGTTGAGGGGTTTAGGGGTTTAGGGGTTTAGGGTTTTGGAGCCAATTTAGGCTTTCGTGACCTTTCGGTCCTGTAGTACCGTGATGCCATAAGCGCTGCAACATTGAAATGGCACTTCAAAGGTGTCCATCAAAATGCTCGTAGCTCCGAGGCAGCTACAGGGAACTCCAGAAAGTTGGAATATGGTTTCATGGTAGGATACCCTATAATTTACCATAGAAGGGTTAGGATAATCATCTTCCAACTTTCTGGCTTTTACCTTATATCACATTGGATACTGATACCTCCTTACCGCTGGCATTGGAAAAGCATGTGCCGACCATGTCCTCAGAGCACTGCAACTACTGTTGAAGTCTGCACTTTGACTCTACTGAGACCGATCAAATTTCCAGGTGGCATTCTGCCATAATGGCATCGTGGTATTAAAATGCGATGGTGTTGTAACGGTATTGATGCAAGGTTACACCACCGGAGGTCCCAAACCGTTCCCGGATGAAGGACGATAATGGGGAGACAAGCTTCGAACATCTCGGCATTGGAGATCCGCCCGCAGTACCAAACTTGGGCATTCACCTTTACAGTGAACTGTTTCGGGATATGCCTATGACACCTGCTTTCCACGCCAACCTCATTGCGTTGTTGCCCACAGCAGCAACATGTCCGAGCTAATTCGCTGACTGAGATGTGCTAAGACAGCTTCCTTTCATTGTTTATGTTCTTCGTGTGTTGCAGTGGCCCTTGTAGTAGCAGTAGCCCTTGAACTAACCCTCATAGTATAAACGCTTACAGTATAAACTCTTACGGTATTCAAAGTGACCTGTCTGCTGGTCCGTGCCCAGATGACGGAGCTCTGCAACATTCGCGCCCACGTTGCTGGTCTGCATTCATGGCTGAGTGTAGAGTTCCTCTAAGGGGGTTGCTTTAATTGTGGATTAATGTAAGTTGCCTCTTCCAGATTCGGATCTTGTTTTCTGTGGTGGGTTCCTCAGGCGGTAAAGGTGTACAGAATGGCACGCAGATGATTTGGGACTATCGTAGAACGTGCTCACCCGAGGCCGAGTCAATTCTCGAGCTGTGTGGCACTGCCGCAAGCTGCACCACAAATAACAGTCTTTGGACATATATGGGAGTTTCCGAAAACAGTGGATCCTAATCTAGTACCCTGAAGTGTAGGATCCTTATTATAGGACCCCAAAATAAGGTCCCTCTAATTTTCGGAAACCCCGATATAGAGTGTACCTGGTCTGTCCAAGGATATCGTCAATTTCGTCGAGCAGGACATCGAGGTCGAGAAGAAGGAAGTAGAGGCAGGGCGGTTAGGGGTTCAGGGATCCTAAACCCTGCCCCAAGCTCTGATGACCCGCTGCTGCTCTTCTTCTGCATGGTTATGGTGATGGTGAACTGTCATCTGCTTGCCGTGTTCGTACTGCCGTGATGAGGATAAAGATGAGGGGGGTAATGCTAACGAAGAAGAGGATGATGACAACTTTGATGAAGACGATGATGTTGTTGATGGTGATGGTGCCGGTGATGGTTCTGGTGCTTGGATTTCGCGTGGCTGATGGTGTTAGGGCAGCATTCCATTGCTGATGTTGATGGGGACCGGTAGCGACGGTGATGAATGGGAAGCAGAAGATTTCAGGGATGATGCTGCTGCCGATGGCAATGATGCTGGTCCTGATGTTGATGGTGATGTTGATGATAACGATGTTAAGTTGATGATGACGATGATGGCGATGACGATGATGATGATGATCGCCATGTCGATAATGAGGTTGTTGAAGGTGACCTTGAGCAGGCTGCAGCCAGACGAGTTCATAAGCAGCAGCGGTAGCTTCGGCCGCAGCAGCTGCAAAAAGCACATCAGCGGCAGCAAAAGCCGAAGCGCAAGCGCACGCAGCGCCGGCAGGTGTTGCGTCGTCGTCGTCGTCCTTGTCGTCGTAGTCGCAATTCTTGGACCACAGCTGCTGCTGCCGCAGCTTTTTTGTTTTGCTGCTGTTGTTGTTGTCGTCTCAGTTCGTGTCGTTGTCTCCGTTGCTCCTGTTGGCGGAGAAATGTTTTGTAGCTAATGTTGCTATTCATTGCCGCTCTGTGTGTTTGGTCTTGTGGCTGTGCATCTCTTGCCATAGGGACCCTTAGTGGGGTAGGGGGCCTTGATGCCTGTAATAAGGCCGATTGAAGTGTAGCGCCCTGCCCCCCCTCCCCCCAACCCCCTCTAAGGATCCCTTCTAGCTCGCTTTGAAGGAGCCCTTAAACCTTTATAGAATCCTTATGCCCAGGGTCCCTATGATCTTGTCAGGAGGAGAAAGAGGAAGGACACGGACACGGTGAGCGGCTCAGAGATGCTCGGATGAGGTCTCTGGGGTTTAGGGCGGAAACGGTTGATGACACGAATCCTGCATTATCCATAATACGGAATATACCACTATTCCCATAGTTTAGGGTCCTTAAGGGATGGGGGTCTTGGACATGAACCAGCGGTATCTACCACGGGACAGTGTGCCAACCTGGAAAGATGTGTCATGTGAGCCTTCACTCTAGATTCTAGATATCCTGCATATTGCAGTCGTAGTATCAGGGTAGCACTTATGGCTCTTGCGGCAGTCATGCACCGCCGTACTACGGAGGCTCGTGTTCAATCGCGGTTTGGATATTCATGCCTTCCGCCTAACACAGCCGTACGGGGATCCGAAACCTATCGGGTACCCAAAACCCCATATCTAAAGCCTTGGGCGACACTCCCAAGTTCTGAGCCCTTATGGACGGGACAGCCTGAGCCTAAACGCTTCTTTTCATACCCCATCAGGCCTTCAGCCTAACCCGGAGCGCAGGATCTCCACCGGAAAGCCAGTAGAAGCCTGTGCCCTCAACCGGGACACCAAGCGTAGCTTGCGTTGGATTTATACTGGGTCGGAATGATTAGTAATGATAGTATCCCTGTATGGTCCCTGCATACTTAGACGATGACTGTAATGAACGTACCCTCAAACCTTATCCGGATGATTGGGGTTCCTACAGTCGCTTGTCCAGCTTGTGAGGTGGACATGGTGGCCATGAGGCCTGGAAGTATAAGACGTACGAATGGGAGGGCAAGGAATACGGAGAATATCACGGAAGGTGAAGAGGGTTTTGGCAAATCATGGCCCGTACGGCCTAAGCTGATTTGTTGACATGTCTATGTCGAGCACTGAAGGTTCGTGCAGCAAGCAGCCCCACACCGTCCTTCCCATATACCCAAGCTACCGAACTTTCCAAGAAAGTACCCGCCGTCACGACGATTATGTATGTTGCTGCCATTGATCCCAAGCAACTGCCCCTGCTGCTGCTACAGCCCCGGCTTGGCCTGACCCTCATTATTTGGGCTTCTGATTGCACTGCTAACATTACCACGACTACGACGACTACTACTACTACTACTACTACTACTACTTCTACTTCTACTTTTACTTCTACTTCTACTTCTACTTTTACTTCTACTTCTACTCCCACTCCTACTCCTACTCCTACTTCTACTTCTACTTCTACTTCTACTTCTACTTCTACTTCTACTTCTACTTCTACTTCTACTTCTACTACTGCCTCTAGCACAACGACAAGTACTACTACTAGCACCAGTACTGCCACTGCTACTGCTACTACTCCTCTCCGCCGCCACCGCCACCGCCACCACGACCACGACCACGACCTCTTACCACAACCACTTTCACTACCACTACCGCTACCACTACCATTACCAGTACCACTACCAATACCACTACCACTAGCACGACCACTACAACCACTACCACCACTACCGCCGCTACTGCCACTACTACCGCTACTACCACTGCTACTGCTACTACCCCTGCTACCACTTCTTGCACAGCTACCACAGTGCCACTACCACTACCACTACCAATAGTATGATTGCTACTAGTGCTACCAATGCTGCTGCTGCTGATATCAGCAAGCGCTACAAGTATCACTATGATCGTTGCATCGTTATTGGGCAGGGAACTGTTGACGCCGTCTCCACTGCTTTGTCGGCTGCTTGTTATGTAGCTGCCACCGCCGCTCTGCTGCTACTGCTGCTGCTGCTGCTGCTGCTGCTGCGCACGACATCGATTGAACCACATCGATTGAAGCACAGATTTTGGTCCTGTGTTGAAGTACACCTCTTTGAAAAGATTCCATCATCACTGTTCCTTCTTGCGGATGCTGGTGTTCTCATCACCGTTGCTAGAATGATGCCTGCGATAGCATTGAAATTTCCCGGATGACTTCTTAGTGTCAACATCCATGCCTTAGCTAGGGCCACGGTGGACACGATGGTCATGGCGAAGGTCACGGCCATGATGAGAACTGCACGGAGGACATGGCTTGTGATCAGTGGCTGAGCACTGCCGGGTTCTGAAAGAAGACTCAACGCCGAACCTGACGCCACACAAGCGGAGTGCAACCAAAACCCCAAGCTCGAGCTTCAAACCTCAGCCTTCGTTCAACCTGGAATCCGAGAAGCAATCTGCAGTGCCGGACATTAAGGCATAGCAGCACCTGCAGCAGCAGGAGGAGTAGAGTCGTAGCAGCTGTAGCTGCCATAGTAGAGGTCGTTTCAGTCGCAGTCACCGCAGTCGTAGTACTAGGCGTGGTCGTGGTCCTCGTCGTCGTAGTTTCCTCGTCGTAGTCGTAGTCGCGGACGCAGTCGCAGCACTCTACTACTACTGCTACTACTACGCCTGCTACTGCCACTGCCACTGCCACTGCTGCTGCTGCTGCTGCTGCTGCTACTGCTACTGCTACTGCTACGGCCACCGCTACCGCCACCACTACTGTGCTACTACTACTACTACTACTACTACTACTACTGCTACTACTACTACTACCACTACTGCTACTACTACTGCTACTACTACATACTGCTAAATCGTACTACGACCACTGCGACCACTACGGCCACTACGACCACTACGGCCACCACCGCTACGACGACCACTACGACCACCACAACCACTACGACTGCTACGACCCCACGACCGCGACCACGACTACGACGACGACGACGATTACGACGACGACTACTACTACCACGGCTGCTGCTGCTGGGACTACTGTTGCTCCTGCTACGACTTGCTACGCTTGCGCTGCTGCTGCTGCTGCTGCTGCTGCTGCTGCTGCTGCTACTCCAATGTTTGCTGCGGCTACGACCACTGCGACTACAAAGTCATCGAGTGCTATTGCTTCTTTATATGGCTTCATGTGCTACTCTGACAATGCTCTTGAAAACTGCAGCAGAAATGAGCAATATGTAGCATCAGCAATCAAAATAGTCAGCATTTTGAGAATATCACAATACTGTCTGGTTCTTTGTAGGGAAGGGGGAAATTTGGATTTTGGAGACTAAATAGTTGGGGATTACATAGGGACTACTATAGGGATCCATTCCCCCATTCCCTACTAAGCACCAGACAGAAAAGAAAGGACCACGGCGGTGGCCATGGCGGCCACGGCGGCCATGGCGGCCATGACGGTCGTTTCCTCGGGCTCCGAGTGGCAGCTCTGGTTTCTGTATTCAAAATTGCTGGGGCTTTCCGGGAAGCGCAACGCCAAACAAGCTTAAAACCGTTATGGACCGAATGAAGGGTTTGGCTCATTTGCTGAATTTGTGTTCTCTGGGAGGACAGCATCGGCCGAAGTGTGAGGTCGTATTGCAGGTGCATCAAGACGGATCGATGTGTGGCGGTAGACTAAGCGACGCTGCAATTCACAGAAGCCCGATATTCCAAGCCCTACGGAGGCTATTCAGGCCACGGTGATGCTCATAGCTCTTCGCACGGCGAGGGCCATGGTCATGGTCATGACGGTCCTCCCGGCGAGGGTTAATCACTGCAGGGCAGCTTGAGTTCTCTACTCAGACCCTACACGAGTGCGTAATCTTACGTTATGATGCGATCGCAACAGTACAAAAGAGTTGTGGTTAGACGCCTGCGCCATTAAACGCAGATGTCTTTGCTTTGGTATCTGTCACCATTGTATGCATGTTACAGTATCATCATCATGTTGCCCTGTAGTCGTGCCAGGGTTTGTGTGAGTTGGTTCGGCTGTATAGGTCTGCTTTGCTGTGACTTTCTTGAAAAGACGGACCTGCTAGCAATAAGCCATGATGGTTTCCGTGTTGTCATACGGTCATGCCATTCGGCCTTGCATTGTAACCTACGCTAGATTTGTAGCATCGAGGCTGCTTTGTGGGTGTCCAGCGCTTCCAAGATCAGGCTGATATCACGAGCAATCCACAAGGTAAGTTGAGCCTATTTTCAGAACCCCTAAATTCTAAACCCTACACTCTACATCCGTGCAGGCACCAAAAAAGCATTCAATCTCTCCCCCAATCCCTCGGGTTCCAAAACCCATTCTGTCTCAGTCCCTGATTCCAGAGCCGAAGCTCCGCTACCATGAAAAATTCAAAAAAAAACAAAACAAACTACACCCGAAACCCTAAACCCTAAACCCTAAACCCCTAAACCCTAAACCCCTAAACCCCTAAACCCTAAACCCCTAAACCCTTAACCCCTAAACCCCTAAACCCCTAAACCCCTAAACCCTAAACCCTAAACCCCTTCACCCTCCACTCCAGACCTCTCTCTTGTCCAGGCAAGGCCGCCAGTCGGCACGACGGCCGGGTCAATTCATTTTCCATAGTGAGAGAGGCCGGGGAGGTCTTTCGAATCCCTCGGAGTTTAGGGTTTAGGGTTTAGGGTTTAGGGTAGGATCTAGAGAATCTAGGGCATTAGGATCTAGGGCTTTAGGGTTTTAAGGTTTTAGGGTTTTAGGGCTGAGTGGCAGGATTTAGGGCTTCAGGGTTTTTCGGTTAGGGGTCTCGGAAGATGAAGGATCTTATTCTTTAGGGCAGGCCGCCTCCTGCATGGATGGGTGTTGGGGTCAGGGCTTAAGCGTTTGAGGGTAGGGTTCAGGGTGCGCAAGTGCTTCGGTCCAGTGTTCAGGTCAGAGGGGTTTGGGTTTATGTGTGGGTGTATTAATCATGCTCGATCCATTTTGAAGGCTTTTGGGGTTTAGAGTACATACGCACTGCCTAGGCTGCCAAGCGATTGCACGGGAAGCCCATCCCGAATTGCCTGCGGCAGTCTCATGTCGGAGCTTCTAGACCAGCCCAAAGATGGGTTGGCCCTTGGCGGCATGCTATGTCCCTTGATTGTTCTCCTTAAGCATTAATCTAAAGCCCTAAACCCTGGCCCTAAACCTTAAACTCTAAACCCTTAAATCCGAAACCCTAAACCCCCAAAACCCTAAACCCCCAAACCCCTGAACCCCTAAACACCTAAACCCTAAATCCTTCAATCCCGAAACCCCTAAGCCGAAGATGCACCTAACCCTTGTAGTTCGTAACCCTTAAAGGAACCCTTATAGACCCCTTTAAAGGAACCTCAAGGGACCCTATTCTAATTATTAAGGCCCCTCGACTAGGCTCTATATTATAGTACCCTTATACATCCTTATGGTAGCCCTTTAAAGGAACCCTGTAAAGGGACCCTGTTTTAGTTATTAAGGCCCCTACACCTAGCCATGGCATCCCTTCTGCAGCCATCCTTGCGAGCGTTCCGGCCCGAGGATGGCAGTCATTATTGGGTTGAGGGTTAAGGGGTAAAGGTTTATAAGATTGTAGGGTTTAGGGTTCAGGATTTGTAAGATTTTAGGGTTTAGGGTTCAGGATTTATAAGATTTTAGGGTTTAGGGTTCAGGATTTATAAGATTTCAGGGTTCAGGATTTAGGTTTAGGGTTTAAGGTGTAGGATTTCAGGTTGAAGGTTTAGGGGCCGGACAACTGTTGATCTTCTCGCGGCTGTTCTGCTGCTCGTGCGAGGATGATGACGAACTCGGCAATGATGATGATGAGGGTGATGGTGACGATTTCGACGATGATGATGGTGATGATGATCATCATCATGATGGTGGCGATGACGGAAAGTCATGAACGGTGCGAGTGTTCAGTTTGACTTCGGTCTTCTGGCATTCGGCGACAAGCCTTGACTGCTTCAGATTCTAGAATGTTTGTTCCGCACTTGGCTATCATGCTGCAGCAGTAATCTTCGGCTATCTGTCCAGAGTGCTATGTCTTGAAGCCTGTGACTTGTTCCAGGGATTAAGAGCAGTTCCGGTCCGCAGCCTATCGTGTCGTGGTAAGGAAAAGAGACGAAGTACAGCCCTGAACTCCCATTCCATGCCACCGCTAACGGTCTGCAAGGGCTTAGGCTTAGGGTTTAATTTGGGTTTGGGGTCATTCTAGGGATGAGAGTTCATGCGAAGCTTACGTTTCCGTCCCGGCAAACTCAAAGTTTAGGGTGGAGTCGGGTCGGTTTGGGGATGTGACGCTTTCCAATCATTTCAATCGGATACTGTTCGGCACTACGTACTTGCCGCCGTGATGTGGGAGACAGACAGAGCGTGCCGGACATCATCCATATTATAGTGTTCCTATTATGGTATTCTTATTATTATTATGATTATTATAGCATTATGGGTTTAGGGGTGCCAAGCATGGCCAATTGTGGCCAGCAAGAAGGGTCCAAGAGTTTTGCACCGCGGAGCCTGCAAGATTCAGCGATGCGGAACCTCTACAAAGCTCGAGTCCACTCTTAGGCAGCGGGGTAGGGGATCGCATGTTTGCATTCATTTGGGAGTTTCCGAAAATAGGGGACCCTAATGTAGTACCCTAAATACGAGGATCCTTATTATGAGGACCCCAAAATAAGGTACCCCGAATTTTCGGAAACTCCCATTTGGGGGCTCCGATGGCGCATTCTTCCAGTCGAAGTCTAGCCCTACAGCTCTGAGGATCCTTAGGCCCTTAATGTAAAACATACAGCAGTTCTAAAAAGCCCCCAAAACCCTATATTCTAAAACTATCAAGGCCGCCTTTTTATGATCAGAATAGGGTTTTGAGGCTTCCTTATTATAACTGTTGTATGACTACCCAAAGGCCTCAAAGTAGTTCTTTTTTTGGGGTTCATATATAGAATCCTAAAAGGTAATCCCAAAAAGGAACTATACTATGGGGCCTCTGGGTAAGGCCCCTACATTAATGAACGCTCGAGAGCATCCCTGGTCTGCCCCGAGGCCCTTGCTCTTACGCCGGTGCGCGGCGTCTGCGCCTCTGCATGGCTTGGGCCCATCCTCACCTTCGTCCTCCTCACGTGCCTCGGCATGTCTTAAGATTCACGCGTAGCAAGGTAAGAGCTACTAATATAGGGACCGAAATGAATACCAATATTATTTTGGGGGTTGTTTATTAGAATGGTAGTATGATGGGCTCCAAAATGCTATTCTATTTATTAAGGCTCCTATATCATGCTGGTGCTGCTGCTTCTGTTATTCGACGGCGTCGCAACTCCACGATGTCTTTATATGTGTGAATATGATCGTACTTCTCGCTGCCACTCCGCTGACGACGACTGCGACACCACCGGTGAAGCCTTGCGGCATAAGAGCTCTTGAACCCTGGGATGACAGCAAACACATCTGAGCTCGAACTGGTGCATTGGCTGAGTAGGTCCCATGGCCATGGGATTCAGGGTTGAGGGTTTGGGGTCGAACGTTGGGTGGTTTGTTGTTCATTTTCAGAGTTGTAAGGCCAAGTCGTAAGCGCTTGCAGTAAGAATGTAAGGCGTGAACATCGTGGCGAGGTGATTGGAGAATGCATGCTACTATACCATCCCAGTTGTCTTGCATGGCTGCGACTGTGCTCCTTGCTTCAAAAATCACGACGATGAATGATTTATACCCTATGCCCTAACCCCCTAAACCCTAACCCAACCCTTAACCCTTAAACCCTAAACCCTTTCATCCGAAACCCTAAACCCTAACCCCCTAACCCCTGAACCCCTAAGCCCCGTTTCTTTCATTCCTTGTCCCGGGCCTTGCCGCAGGCGCGAGCCTGGCTCAGGCGGGCCTTCTGCACGAGGGCAGATGCGGGGTTTAGGGTTTAGGATTGAGTAACTTTTAGGGTTTAGGGTTGAGCAATTTCTAGGGTTTAGGGTTATTGAGTAACCTAGGGTAGCTCTGTAGGGTTGAGGAATGTTTAGGGTCTTTCGGGGGGCCTTGGGGGCTTTTTTGGCTTTGGTGTGCGGGGGGGGGGGGGGACAGGCTTTAGGCTTCTTATGGTTTAGGTTTCATGCAGCAGTTCGCGGGTTTAGGACTTCAGGGGTTCGGGTCGCAACTCTTTCTCCCCAAACTCTAAACCCTCTGCCTAAAACTCCCGACCGAAACCCAAACCGTTTATCCCTGGACCTATAACCCCCCCAACTAACAAAGACAGTCGGTTGCAGGTTACGCGGACGGGGGGCGATGACAAGTCTGCTTCACTCTCCGCGTGGTGGAGGTTGGATCATGGGGACGTCCATTGTGCAAGTTTACGGCCTTCAGGGCTCAATGGGGCAAATGGCTTTAGGTTTTTGGTTTATGTTGTTCAGATCTGTGATGAGTCACGGACATGGACACACCAACCCAAAGCCCTGAATACCGTCGGCTACCTCATTTCAATCTGGGAAGTTTCGGGCTCTTTTTGCGGATCCGATAAGAATGGCAGTAATAATAACAATAGTAATCCCAGAGATATAGATAGCAAGAGAAAACAACCAATAGTAGAATGATGCAATGTTTCTAGGTCTTTGGGGCCTGACCTACCCATCCTCACTTGGGGCTGTGTTCGCCTTCGCTCGTCCGAAGGGAAAGCTCAAGACTGGGCTCTCATCCCTCAAAATGTAGGGTGAAGCCTTCAGGGTTTAGGGTTCCTAGACCCTGAACCCTAAAATCCAAGATTTTGGGTTGCGGGTTCAGGGTTTCACTACCGAAAGACTCTGCCCAGAGGCGCAGGCAAGACGGCGGAGGCGCTCGAGCGCTTCCGCCCGAAGGAGCACAACGGCTGAGCCAGGACGCCTTCATGTCGCGATCTGGTGTACAAAACCAAACTAACTAGATAGATCTGCGATCCACCTACCTATCTATCTATCTAATTATCTATCTACTTACTGTATCTACCTAGCTAGCTAGTAGCTAGTTATCTGTCTACACGCACATTGTCATGTGTCTCTAGATATACAGAGAGACCTCGACATATGCTTCTGGCTGTTGCATAGGCAAAATCAAGAGATTGCATGGCCCTCTTGGTTGAAGTTTGGGGACCCCCCCCCTTGCCCCCTCAGCAAGAAAACCAGCAAACATGCACACCTCCTCAAGCTTGTACAGAAGCTCTCTCTGCAGGAGCTGGCGCAATACGCTGCCGAGCTTCAGCCCAGCCAAGAGCTGGTTTCACAGAAGGACGAGTTTCTGAAGAGGCCTGGGAGCTAGAGCTATGATGCCAAGATGTATGATTAATATGTGTATATACATGGTATATTTGTATGTATATACATATACATATACATATACATATACATATACATATACATATACATATACATATCCATATGTATAAAACAAGTGTGTGTGTATATATATATATATACATGCACCGGTTGCTGTGGTGTTCAGGTTTTGATTTTGAGCTCATAGGGAGAGCGAAACTTCTCAAAGTTTGGTTTCGCGGAGAAGTTTGGTTTCACGGAGGCATCGATCTTTTAGCCTGCATCTATGAGATGGTCAGAATAGGATTTTGGAGGCATATTTCGCGTAAAGTCATAGTATAGTTACATTATATTTGTAGTATAGCTATCGAGGGACTCTAAGGGGACATTATTGCGGTGTAGCCCAAGAGGTGTTGTATTGCCTGAAGCCCCAAGTCTGTGGAACCAGGGGCAAAGCAGAAACAAAAGCACGGCATCGAAAAGATATCAAGAGGTTTCGAAGCTGGTATTCTTGCTTTGCCTCCCCCAGCATCTCGAAATCCTGGGGCCCTAGAACGAGGGGGAGGGCTGTTCCTCGCCATGCATGGGCTGTCATCCCTGAAGCCCTAAACCCCGGACACTGAGCCCTAACCATAGGCCCTTGCAGGCCTTGCTTCCATGGTATGGAAGCCTGAAAAAGTACCATTCCTTAGGGTTCCTACTGTAATAACGAGAGTCGAGAGTTTAATTTTTCACCAAGCCATGAACAATTGTGAAGACCCCCACCCACTGTGTGGCTCTTGCCAGAACCCTAAACCCTAAACCAAAGCCTAAAGGAGCTAAAAAAAAACCGTAGGCTTCAAGGGCACCTGGCCCAGATCATCGTCCGGGGCTCGGCTGTTGGATTTAGCGCACCGGTCTTCGAGCGAATGGGCTGAAGGGTTTAAGGTTGACCGAGTTGAGGTTTTACAGCTCTTTTAATGGTGTTTGTAGGGTTTTGGGGTTTAGAGTATTTTAGTTGGGTTTTGCAGGTCTTTTCATCGGGTTTGTAGGGTTTTCTTTTGGGGTTTGGAGTATTTTGGGGTCAGGCCTTAGGGGTTGCGGTTAAGTGTTTATGGCAGAGGTGGAGGCTGGCATAAGCTGCTGTCAGCAATGCTTTGGCATTGGAAGTGTTCCGGGTATGTGGGAGAACGATGCAGTCTAAGTCCCAAGTTTACAGCTTTATATGAACGTGCCACTCCAGCAACTAGCAATACTGCTGCTTCATGTTTATGTCGCCCGGTTAGGTGAGAGCAGAATTCACCACTACACCCAGCACCCGAATGTTCAAATACTAACACTAATACTAATACTACTCGATCTGCTAAGTTCTGGCCATCCTTGACACATTGGTGCTTGCTGCCTTGGTCTGCGTTTTCCTTTTGAGTTCGGGATTCCAATCCAGCTCCAAGTCTTGACCGAGGGCAATTAGCGTACTTGTTCAGAAACTTCAGGTAAGTTGCCACAATTAGGGTGCCTGCTTTCCTTAAGGTGCTCACTTAAGTTGCGAACCTCAGCAGGAAGCATCTCGGTAACATCGAGGTCTGAATGTGCCTATAGGTTTAGGGGTTTAGGGTTTGGGGGTTTAGGGTTTAGGGGTTTAGGGTTTAGGGGTTTGGGGTTTAGGGGTTCAGGGGTAGAGAATATATACTGTACCAATCTCCAAAACCCACGTCTGATTCCCAAGGCAGTCAGGCCCCGTATATTAGGCGTTTAGCCCCCAAGTCAAGTTCTAAATCGTAAGCCCTATATGAAACCCTATCTGACACCTAACCAGGCTGAGGAAAAGAGGGCTCAACAACAAAGAAAACAACAACAATACTACTGCTACTACTACTACTACTACTGCTACTACTACTACTACTACTACTACTACTACTACTAATAATAATAACAACAACAATAACAATCACAATAATAATAAGAAGAAGAAAATTATAATAATAATAAGAAGAAGTGAAACCCTAAACCCTACGGGGCCCCTGCTGCGGCTTCCCGAGGATGGGGCGGACCTTTCGCCGTTCGGGTCGGTCGTGAACGGCCCCTTGCCTCGACCCGAAAGTTAGAACTCCAAATATACGAGCCTCAACGGGTTTCGGGTTCAGGTTTCAGGGTTTAGGGTTTAGGGTTCTAAGTGGTACTTGTCAGGGTTGCGGGGGTTTCTGGTGGAAGTGTTGAGGGGAAGCATGATTACTGAATACTCGGAAGTGGCTAGAGTGTTCAACTTGCGAGACACAAAGAACGTGACGAAGATAAGCATCGGCAGAACATTCCCTGTGCAAATTACTTGGGTGCCAACCTTCGAGTGTCCGCTGGTTTAAAGTTTGGGCAGGGCTTTGGAGGTTTGTGGGGGTGGTTTAGGCTTCAGGGTTTAGGGTTACAGTGTCTATAAGATTCCGCAAGAAGACGTTCGGAGTAGAAAGGTCTAGCTGCCCCGATAAGAACTGCTTTCGTGCCCGTAAAAGAACTCCGGTCCCCAAGCCGGCGACACTGAACCCCAGCAACAGCTGGGGACCCTAGTCACTACTTAAAGGATCATGGGACTTAGTATCTAGGGTTATGATAGAGGGCTCTTTAAAGGGATCTATAGGGATTCTTAAAGGGATCAGGGTTTAGGGTCGACGTAAAGGATCATGGGACTTAGTAACTAGGATTATAATTAGGGTAAGACTACTTATAGCTACTCATGATCCCAACTAGGGTACTTATAACCTTACTTGCTAAGTCCCATGATCCTCCAAGTAGTGGCGTTGCGCGAAGACATCAGTATCCATAGCTCAGTGTCCAGGGGGGTGGTGCGGATTTAGAAGCGTTTCATATCGCAGATGGCACGCGCACACAGACACAGAGCAGCATCACAGGCAAAGAGCACATGTTGGAACCGCCAGCTCACATCTCAGTATCATATAGTTAATATGCAGCATATGGGACCGTGCTGAGCATGGCCGATTCGATCATTTTGGCCTCCGATAGAAGATTGAATTCTTTAAACTTCCAACTCCCCGAAATCCCAGCAGTCGAATGCGCCCAGGCTTCTGGACGCCAACGAGCGACGTCGACGTTTGCGTGCCTCAGCTCTTCATTTGATGTCGGTCTGGCAGCTTCCGGTATCGTTGAGCTCAACTTTGACGCTTCTAGGATCATGCTGAGCCCAGAACATTAAACCCGGACCCGAAGTTCGAAGTCCTAAACCCTAGATCGTGAGCCCGAACCCAAACGCCTCAACGGAGTAATCTCCGAAGCCAAAGACCCGTGGCCTCCGAGGTCCGTGTTCCAGGACACCCGGCACCTATGTTTTGCAGGGTCCGTGCCCCTTTTCCGAAGCATTGAACTCCACACCCCTCTCCCCACGCATCCCTACACCCTATTTCCTGCAGAAGCCTGGTGCTTTCCTTTAAGAAGCCCACTCGTACAACAGTAAGCCTGAGAAGCTTGTAGCCATATAGTTTAGGAATGTTGCGGTTGATGGCTCAGGATTACCTGAAACGTAACCCCTTAACCCTAAACCTCTCTGACCACGTTCCACCCCAGCTTTCCTAAACGCTGTAAGTTGGTCACAGTCTTGTTCTTCGTCCGTGGCTGTTAGCGACCGAAGTTCTGCCCTTGCTTTGCGCCACGAGCCCTCGGAACTGTCGATGCACCGTCGTAGAAGTGCGGTATTCGCACTCTGCCTCGCTTGCGTTTGCGGGCCGAGCGCCTGGCGACTCTCAAGCCTCTTTGTTGTCAAGGCTGGCTTGGCGCCAGCCTTACACTTACACCCAGGAAGGCGCGAAGATGTCACACAAAGTTCGGCACGGCCTTACTCAAGAGGAGCTGGAGGTGCGAAGGGCCAGGACGCAGATGTGACAGAGCTGGCCAAGCTGAGGGAGAAGGAGGCGGAGGCTTCCGGTCAGACTCTCGACAAACGCCTGGGAAAGCTGCGCACAGCTAAGGACTTCATCCGGTATGCTGAGTCGCATGGAGCTTCTATCACATCTACAAAAAGTGGTCGGATGCGGATCTCAAAAGATGGCGTCTGGCGAGATGTTTGCCAAGGAAGCTGCAAAGACTTAATGAAAAGTGAGCGCATAAAGACGATCACATCTTTCAAGGCCATGGGAATTGCTTTCGACAGCAAGTGATGACTCCATGAGCCTATGAGGGCAGCTTCTCATGATCACCGAATAGACATGAGCCGTGCAGGTAATTAGTTACAGCCCTTTCAAGATTGAACCCGCGACCAGATGCACCCAGAAAATCACAGGAGAGTGTCTGCATGCTTGATTCAGACAAGATGGCAACCGGTATCCGTCTTGCCAGGCTCAGTAGACTCTGGTTACTGCTCCCAACTCCCTCTCAGCCTGCTCCTCCGCTTCCTACGTCCTGCTTCCCCCACTCCTGCCTCCTGCCCCACCTACTCCTTCTACTCTTACTCCTCCCTTTGCTCCTGCTACTCCCACTACCACCACCACTACCGCTTCCGCTTCCGCTTCCGCTACCACTACCACTACCACTACCACTACCACTACCACTACCACTACCACTACCACTACCACTACCACTACCACTACCACTACTAGTACTAGTACTAGTACTCGTACTAGTACAACTACTGCTACAACAACAACAACTACTACTACTACTACTCCTGCTGCTGCTGCTACTACTACTACTACTACTACTACTACTACTACTACTACTACTACTATTACTGCTACTACTGCACTTGCTACTGCTCCTGTTGCTGCTACTGCTCTGCTACAGGTACTGCTGCTGGTACTACGGCTACTGCTATTGCTACTGCTAGTTACTGCCCCTGCTGGTGTTGCTACTGCTGCTGCTACGACGACTCACGACGACGACTACCACTGCTGTCATTCCTACAGTACTACCACTAGCGCTACCACTGCCACTACCGCTGCCACTACTACTACTACTGCTGCTGCTGCTGCTACTACTACTACTACTACTACTACTACTGCACTACTGCTGCTGCTAGTGCTGCTACGGTGTAATGAGTTGTGCACGAGGTGGGACCTTGCGAACTCGATTAAAGCTTCTTGGTGTGCTCCATTCCTGCAATAGCATGAACAAAGATTGTATAGGGACTATAGATGGATGCACTGGTATACTACCGAAAATCGAAACCCTCAAATCTAAAACTAAAACCTGAGCCCCAAAACCCACACCCTAAAGCCTGAAACCTAAACCCTAAGATCTGAAGCAGAAACCCTGCTTCCTAAGTCCCCTGATCTTTCAAGCGACCCACAACCCTCAAGTTTAGGACCCTACAAATCAAATCCCAATCATACAGAAGACGATGGATTGTTAAACTCACTTCCTTCTGGGCCCTAATATTTCGAGATACATACGTATCTTTTTTTATACACATACGTATGTATGTATGTATGTATGCATGTATGTATGTAAACAGGTGTATATGTGTGTATATATATATATATGTATGTGCATGTATATATATATATGTGTATATATATATATATATATATATACACATAGATATATACGTGTACAAATATGTATATATATATATATATATATATGTATATATATATATGTATATATGTATATACATATATGTATATATGTATATATATATATATATACATACACATACACATGTGATCATATGTGTGTGCATATATATATATATATATGTATATACACATGCATGCATTTTTTGTATAGGGATCCCCTTTTCTCTCCCTTTGCGCAGGAGCTTCCACTCGGAATGCTCAGATCCAAGCGCCTTTGCTTTGACTTCATTGGGCCCTGGGCCTTCGCTCCCCAAGTAATGTAAGGGCCTTAATAATTAGACTAAGGTTCCTTTAGAGGGATCTTTTAAAGGGTTCCTTAAAGGGATCTATAGTCGGGTTCTACAATATAGGGGCCTTAGTAGTTAGAACAGGTTGTTGAGGTTCCTTACTGCAGTTATAGTATAATATCCCCCCAAACCCGATTTTAATATCAAGGCATTACCAGCTTTAGGTATTTGTTTGGATTTTGAGAGTTCTCTTAGGGCGTGTGCAGGGTTTGTACGTAGCGGTTTCGTGTTTGAGTGTTTCTAGGGATTTTAGGTCTTGGGGTTTGGGGGCTTTGAGTGGGGTTCGGGGACGGGTTGTCAGGATTTGGAGTCAGGCTTTTTGTCCTGGCAGGCGCATGCTGGTTCAGGTGTAGTCTTGTGTGTCGCCAGTGAGCTGGCACGGATGATAAATCCCCTAATATAGAGGCCTAAGTAATTACCAATACTATTTTGGGGGTTCGTTGCTATACTTATAGTATAATGGGCCCCAAAGCCCTATTATAGTGATTAAGGCCCCTATATCCCCTAAGCCCCCAAAGCCTTCGAGCTGAGAGCCCCACCGCCCTGATTCACTGAGCCGTTGCGCCCTGAAGGCCCAATGTCTCAAAGCCCTGAAGAGCCTACTATTGGGGCCTAAATAATTACCTATATCATTCTGGGGGGTTCCTTATGATGACTATAAGTGTAATGAGCCAACGGAACCCTATTCTAATTATGAAGGCCCCAAAATTTTTCAGACCTGTCGGAGCTCGGTGATGGGCTCGTCATCCCGTCCGCAAGGTCTTGCGGCAAATTTCTGCCGAACTGACCAAGGACAGCGGCATCGAATTTTGGTCTATGGTCTCGGGTTTGGAGTTCAGTGTCCATCCTCAAGTCCTAGGTCCTGAACACCTCCTCTGATCGCATACATGGGTTCCTTCACGTGGGAGAAGATCGTGAAGATCCTAGGCCCTAATCGGTAAACCCTATGGCTTGGAAGGACATGAACTCGAAGCCAGTCAGGACATAGCAGTATGCCGTGCCCTAGGATTTGGAACCCGCACTCAAATCCGTGCGCCATGGAGGCTCGAAGCCTTGAAGATCATTTATTTTATCATTGCCATTACGACTATCATTAAGAAATATTGGCGTAATATCCAAGCTGGAGCCTGCAGCCCTCATGAGCTCTTAGCTATTTCTAAACGTCCTACACCACGGTGAAGCTTCAAAGCACAAGCAGTCGACTCTCACGACTCCAAACTCAAGCGGTCATTATGGGAGTACTACGAGATTACTTTACTTTGGGGTTACAGCAAGGGATGCTTATACCAGGGTTGGCCTTTGGCTACCGCAGGCGAAGACCCACTATGTCGAAGCGAGGTTCGGGGCCCAGGCACGACGGGGAGTTTGAGGGGTTTTACAGTTTTTGTGGTTCTGTTTGTGGCTGGCAGGAACCGTATATAAGGCGTAAGACCAACACCAAAGCACAATGTATATGTATGTACATATGTATATTTATATATACAGACATCTAATTATATGTACATACACCTCCTATGTAACATTGATGGTTTGAGAATGATGCGAGTGAAAAGAAACGGATCGTAGTGTATGATAAAGCATCGATTGACTCTTACTTGGGGGGTGCGATAACCTTCTCTCCCTACGTGTGGCCTGCTTAGGATCTAAGGATCCTTTTGACATGTAGGATTACAGTGAACTCCTGTAGCGGGAGCGGCTTAGGGGGAGCTTGGACGTTCAGACACGTGAGTTCATCTACTATAGGGGCCTGAATAACTACCTATACTGTTTTTGGGTCTCCTTATTATGATTGTAGTGTAATAGGCCTAAAAAACCCTATTCTAATTATTAAAGCCCCTATATGACGTGCCGATCACTTTGCATCCTATTCTTAAGTAGAGCAAGCCGGCACACACCATGGCAGTGGAGGTGCCGATCCTGCATTGGGCCCCGCTTAGGCGAGTGCCTTAGTGTGCTGTGCATGGTGTGGGGACTCTGCCGGGACTCCTGGGCCCCCTGACTCTACGCCCTCTAGCTGCTGAGCTCGTTCCCAAGCCTGAACCAGAAGCGACAGGCACAGCCACAGCCACAGCGCCAGCGACAGCGACAGCAGTAACAACAGCAACAACAACACAACAACAGCTCCTCCTCCTCCCCCCTGATGCTGCTGCTGGTGCTGCTGCTGCTATCACGAAGAAGAACAAGCATACCACAGCCAGCGGTAGTTATAAGACTCGGCGTCCCTTTTGTTCGCGTGACTTCTCGAGCCTTGGTTATGGCCCGTGGCCCAATCCCCAGCTGGGCGCCCTAAACTGGGAGTTCCTTAGGACCGGAATCGTTTCTCATGTATATTACGCACCATAGAACCCTAGAATGATTACGACCATTATGTTTATTTGGGTTACGGGGCTTGAGTTAAGCCCTAAAAACCTATCCAGGCCCGGCATGGTTTCCTGCGACATCAGCGTGAACAATGTCCTCGCGGTTGTGAATTCAAGGCCGGTTCGGAGAGGACTTTGAGAGTTAAACTTCCGTTTTTGAAGGGATTTCTGTGAGGTTTGGGATGTACACCGTTTTTGCATAGTCGTGTGCTGCGGAAATGGTTTTGGGGTTGAGCTCGGGATGAAGCTCTGAATCATGGAAGGTTGATCCTCTGTCTGGCTCTTAGTAGGGAATGGGGGAATGGATCCCTATAGTAGTCCCTATATTCCCAATAATAGTGTGCCCATAGTCCATTCCCTCCTTCCCTACCCTTAAACCTCTCTACCTATAGTAATTTAAACCTTAATGGCTTCGTGGTCACTTGACGTTTTCAGCTGATCACTTCATCAATCTTCGTGGTCACTTCATCAATCTTCGTGGTCACTTCATCAATCTTCGTGGTCACTTCATCAATCTTCGTGGTCACTGATGCTCTAAACCGTTAGCCCTAGGTTTAGGGCTTTACGTTTAGTGCCTTGGGTTTAGGGCCCAGGGTTTAGGGCCTAGGGTTTGGGCCCAGGGTTTGGGCCCTGGGGTTTTGGGCTTTGGGCCTCTTTTCGGTTTTCAGGCCTCCCCCCTTCCCCCTCTCCCCCGCACTGGGGTTTAGGGCCCCGGGTTACCCTGGGTTTAGGGTTTGGGCAGCTAGGGTTTGGGGGTTTAGAGCCTCGGGTTTGGGCACTAGGGTTTAGGGCCAGGGTTTAGGGCCTTAGGTTTAGGGCCTCGGGTTTGGGTTTTAGGTTTCGGGCCTTGGGTTTAGGGCCTTACGTTTAGGGCCTAGGGTTTAGGGCCTTACGTTTAGGGCCTAGGGTTTAGGGCCTTAGGTTTAAGGCCTAGGGTTTGGGGCCTTAGGTTTAGGGCCTAGGGTTTAGGGCCTTACGTTTAGGGCCTAGGGTTTAAAGTATTATTGAAAAAAGTTCCGAAGAAGAATCGTATTCCATCCGAATATAAAATAAAGATTGTTATTTCATAATGTGAGGGGAACCTTTGGGCGGGTGGGGTTTTGACTTGAAATAGCTTGACTCGAAATTTCCAAAGTCAGAGAAGCTGAACCCTAAACCCTAAACCCTAGACCCTAAACCCTAAACCCTAAACCCTAAATCCAAATCCCTAAACCCTAAACCCTAAACCCTAAACCCTAAACCCTTAAGAACCAGACAATCCTTTGCGGCTTGTTTGGGGTGCAGCCCTTCGAGGCAGCTCTCGTTAGGGGCACCAGCCATGGAAACCTCGAGCCCTTCAAACTTGGAGGATCATGGGACTTAGTAAGTAAGGGCTCCTTAAAGGGGCTTCTTAAAGGGATCTATAGGGGTTCCTCAAAGGGATCTATGGGTTTAGGGTTTAGGGTCTACTTGGAGGATCATGGGACTTAGTAAGTAAGGGTATAAGTTCCTCTATTTGGGGTCATAAGTGGTTATAAGTAGAGTTACCCTAGTTTTAACCCTAGTTACTAAGTCCCATGATCCTTTAAGTAATCCCAATTTCCAATCCCGGCAGGCTGGTGGGTCACTACGTGCGGCTGGACGATCGCGTTCGGACGTTGGGTCTTTGTATCAAGGCTCGCAGGGGCTTCGAACTGTGGACTCCGTTTGGAGTTTAGGGCTTAAGGGTTCAAGGGTTAAGGGATTGCGGCTTTAGAGAACCATTTTGGCGTGAAGTCGGGCGTGGCAAAGCTCCGCTTTATTCAGATGTTTGAGAATGCAAACAAATATACTGAGAAACTGAGGCGAAGCTGCAGGTTCTTCAGTCCCCTGACATCTGGGTGTTGTCATAAATGTCGGTTCCATGGGCACTACGACGTAGCCGTACCTTGCTTGAACAACCCCATGTGTGCGTGTGTCTTGCAGCAGACTGTCTGAACGCAGGACACTGTCATGTGAGGCTCGGATGTAACCCAGATGACCCAGAGCTTAGAGCCCGGAGACTCTCAGCCCTTACACCCTGAACCTCAAACTCCACATCCCTGGTCAAGTCCTGTGAACTGTAAACCATAAGCCCCTTCACCCAATCCCAAACTCCTCCCAAACCCCCACCCAGTGCCCTGCGCTGTGAAATTTTTCATCACAAGGCCTGGGCTGCGGCTCGCCGCATCAACGATCGAAGCCCGGCCCTCGATCCACCCAGACATCCGGGCCCAGTCAGGATGCAGCGGCTTGGGCTCAGGGTCTTTGGGATGATGGTTCAGGATGCGCGGCGTAGGTGGCCACCAGCTTGATATCTGGCCGGGTTGCCATGGGACATGAGTTTTGGATTGCTTCTCAAAGTTGATGGGAAATTGCAGTATGTCTCTGACTTCAAGGATGTGTTGGAGCATGACAAGGCGAGATGAGAGGATCCAGGTTCAGCACCACCATAATCCTAAACCCGACAGTCTTATTGGTAACCAGAGCTTGCTGAGATTTGTTCGGGTCGGTATCTGGGTCGCTTCTTGGTCTCCCGGTGGGCCCATTTTCACTGTTTGTGGTCTTAGGTTGCTTGTACCACTACCCAACACCGAAAGGGGAGCTAAACCCTTAACCCTAAGCCCTAAGCCCTAAGCCCTAAACCCTAAACCCCAAGCCCTAAGCCCTAAGCCCTAAACCCTAAACCCTAAGCCCTAGGCCCTTTTACTTCCAGGATCCTAGCTATGCAACGTGGCAGATTCTCTTCAGATGTAGCGTGTTGCGCAAGCGCTCTTCGGTTTGGATCAGATCGAGCTTCCCCTCAGTTTAGGGTTTAGGGTTTAGGGGTTTAGGGTTTGGGGTTTAGGGTTTAGGGTTTAGGGTTTTAGGGTTTAGGGTTTAGGGTTTAGGGTATAGGGTTTAGGGTTTAGGGTTTAGGGTTTAGGGCTGAAGGTCGTGGGACGATCTCCTCGTTTGCTCTGGTCCGCGGCCAAAATGTTGACAAGGTAGTCAGTGTTCCTGTGACTCCTGCTCTTGGGTGTGATTGTGGTGCGACACATACAAGAGAATACACTTTAATGTAGTTCACCAATAGTATCCTATACTAAATATGGAATATACCAGTAGCATACATGTTTCACTTTGTGAACTTCGACTTGCCCTTCAATCCGCAGTGCTTTAGTAACCGTCCGCAGATGTCGTGTGCGTCAAGGTATTGATGCTGATTCATTTCCTTCAGCGTCGGGACCCACCGGTTCTACCATCTTTGCAGGTGGGTCCGTGACAGTATTATGTCATCGTTGAAATACAGTAAAAATGAAGCACCCTTGTGTTCAGTGCATGTATGCAATGCTGGCGTTTATGTACATACAGGTACTCATGTTCCAGGACACGGAATGCTCAAGGATACGCAGTGCTCGTGACAGGACATTGCCTTCAGCCAGAATGAGAAGCCGAAGTTTGTCAACGGTGTGGACTGCCGGCCAGCATCCCAGGAACGTCTGTCCTGCCCGTGAAGCATCTTAGTACTTCAAACGGGCCTTACCTGATGCAGAGGTTCTGCACTGATGCTGGCAAAATCCGGGAGGAGTTGGCGTATTTGCGAGGTGCACGTGCACCCAACGAGGCCTGCAAAGCTTGAAGACCTCAACCCCATAAGATTGTAGACCATATTTAGAGCATGGCATGTCATCCGAAACTGTACAACCATTGACTTTTTCAATGGAACAATGCCGAAACACCGATCCGAAGAGAGACCCTTGCCGTCACCTGGCCAGCACTAAACATGTGTTTCACCCACCCTAAACCCTAAACCCCCAAACCCCAAACCCTAAACCCTAAACCCAAAACCCCCAAACCCCAAACCCTAAACCCTAAACCCTAAACTGTGATTCTTCGGCAGGAAGACGCAGCAACCTTGCTGCTCGAGTTTTTCCGCTACTTCGGGAAAGACTACCGGCCTGGGACTCATCAGGACTTGGGGTTTAGGGTTTCGGGTTTAGGGGTTTAGGGTTTAGGGATTTAGGGGTTTAGGGTTTAGGGTTTAGGGGTTTAGGGGCTTTGGGTTTGGGGTGTAATTAGGGGTTTAGGGGCTTTGGGTTTAGGGTTTCAGGTTGTGGGCTGTTTGGGATGTAGAGTTGTTTAGGGTTTAAGGGTCTGTGGTGAGCTACGAGTAGTCATTAGTGACCATGCTTCTTGACGCCCATCCTTTCAAGATCATGATCACAGCAAAATCCTAACAAGATCTACAGGTACCGACCTTAATGTGAATAGTTATGCACGGACGGTTGATAGTATTTTCCGATGCTACGAGAGCTCCTATGGACACTGCGACAAGATCTGCTGTGATGGGCACGATGACGACAACTAAGACTACTACCGTCAGCCACTAGCAGGAAGGGTTTTGTATCCAGAAGCCTAGCTAGCAGATTAGTGATGTGGAAGTTGGTAAGGAGCGGCATCATCCGAATCCGGGACACTCGTTCGATGCTGCCTCCTGGTGACGAGCCGGTACCTTAGACAGCTTATGCCGAGCATGGCCCAGCTTTATTGCACAACGTGTGTATACATGTGTGTGTGTGTGTGTGTGTGTTTGTATGTCTCTTTGCGGCTATGTGTGCATGTGTGCATACTTAAATGTTCATATATACACACTTGTTTGCATATGCGCACAGAAGCCACATATTTCTCTGCAGACGGGTCCGTAGGGGTACGTGTGTCGGTACCCACTTACATACGTACGTAGGCAGGCAGATAGGTATATTAACGGTAAGCAGGTAGGAATGAACGTATGTACGTACGTATGTATGTATGCATGTATGTGCGTAATTATATATGCATGTACACACACATCATGCAGAGCAGTGACTCACACTTGCATGTGCAACAAATGCAAGCAAAATGCACGATCCGAAGTCTCAAAGTTGTGCCCAAAGTGTCAACGTCGTCAAGCTGCCCTCAGAGAATGTTATGCCAGCTGCATGTCACACGCAAATACAAATGCTTTCAGCCGGTTTGCTTGGAAAGCCGTGTGATGCACTCTGCACAAGCTGAGACAGATGAATGGGCACAGATGGAGGAAGACAGACGTAGACATAGGCAGGCAGGCATGTGGGCAGCAGCATGCTTCCTTCGTGTTTACTTGCTGTTCCATTTGCCACATACGTGGTCACTTCCGGCATAGGTACTGATATACATGTATTGGCACATGATAAGTTTGTTTCTGTATATGTATATATATATATATACACATGTATACATACATATGTTTTCATATTTTTTACGGGTATATGTATCACATAATGTTTTTCAACACATGTCCAGGCTCGAAAGAGTGAACAGTGCTGCTGGTGGTGGTGGTCGTCGTCGTCGTAGTAGGCGTCGTGGTGGTGGTTGTGGTAGTGGTAGTGGTAGTAGTAGTAGTAGTAGTAGTAGTAGTAGCAGCAGTAGTAGTAGTAGTAGTAGGAGGAGTAGTAGTAGTAGTAGTAGTAGTAGTAGTGGTAGTCGCGGTAGTAGCGGGAGTAGTGGTATTTCAAGATTAAGATTAGTAGTACCAGTACAATGTATCTGATGCCACACGCAGTACTCCCTCATTACAGTGCTCCACACCCGAGGACCAAGTGCTTCTTGGTCGTGGACAACCCCTTCGAGGCATACCACACCGAAAGCAGGGAGGTTTCTTGATTTACACCACGCAGCTTTTCGAGGAGGGCAAGGATAGCTTCAGTTTCATTCCGGCTCCGAAGCAGTGCTCGCAGGGTGTTGGAAGCACTTCTCACCACTCGCGAGGTCGGCAAAGACGTGGCAAACATTGATGCCTCTCAGCAGAGTGCTCTCCGAAAGGACCGTAGCATTCTGCTTTTGCTCGTAGCCCCAAGTTTCTGTTTGCATAAGGCGTGCAGGCACAGGTTTGTGCTGTCCATGTCATGGGCCAGATTCTCGCATAGCTTCCCAGGAGTTCCGGCGAGCGTGGAGCTACCTAAATCAGGCAAGTGTCATGAGTTCAAGACAGAGTAGACTCACAGTGTCTTAAGGTCTTCGGGCTCCTTCAGCTGCTCTGTGCAACGACATGATGCTTTTGCTATGCCGCCACATGGACCTATACCTCATTCGACTGCCTGGGTACACTTGCAAGCCTGCTTCGTGCCACAGCGCGCAAGCCTGTAGCCTAAACCCTAAAGCCACGGACCTCGTTCATGCGGGAGAAAGGCCACTGCATCTAAAAGAAACCCTAAAGCCCTAAATCCCCAACCCCAACCGCTAAGCCGTCTGAACCTGAAAGCCTAAATTCTAAACCCTATCCAAACTCTAAACCCTAGACCCTGAAACCCAGCTTCGTATTCGTAGGAGCTCTGCCCTCTTGCTGCAGGGCCGGAGCTTCTTGGATCTCTTGCAGGATCCCGAGAAAGATGGCTGAGAGCCGCCCTTGGGGGGTTGTGAACAGGAGCATGGCGTTTGGGGTACGTTAGGGTTGAAGAAAGTCGCGTTGAAGGGTTTAGGGTATATTGGGGTGTAAGGTTTGTAGGGTTTAGGCTTTGCAAAATCAATGGGGGGAGCATGGGAAAAGAGCGGATGCATCAGTTTCGGGGAATAGATGCACAGATTATTGCACATGCGTATATAGACGCATACGCATGTACAAAACTATTCGTGGACGAGTAAAGATGCGTACGTTTCGTAGCCGCAAGCACAGCAGTGCTAGGAACAGGCATGCGGCGGGTTGACTTGCCTCGACAACGTGACGGGCGAGATGCATTTTCGGCGGAGAAAGAGGTGTGCGTGTGTATGCGGGTGCTGGCGCTCCGTGGCTTCATGTCCCCACACCAAAGCCTGGCTTTTCAGGAAGCCTTTCCTCATCCTCGGGCATAGGGGCACGCAATGCATTGTCCGGATTATTAATTAATGAACACAGCAACAGCTCGAGATCGCTTCAGATCCTATAGGTAGCCCTTATCTGCCTCCTTGTACCCAGACTCTGCTGCGTCTCCTCAACCAGAGTTTTCTGGTTCTTGGTAGGGAATGGGGGAATGGATCCCTACAGTAGCCCCTATATAATCCCCAATAGTCTCCATAATCCATTCCCCCCTTCCCTACCCCTACACCCTAAACCCTAAACCCTTAACCCTAAACCCTAACCCTAAACCCTAAAGGCCCTAAACCCTAAACCCTAAACCCTAAATCCTAAACCCTAAACCCTTAAGCCTTAACCCTAAACCCTAAACCCTAAACCCGAAACCGGGCCAGGGAGAGATCGTCCCTCGCCGCCTCAGTGCTTGGATGCAGTCAATAGGCCGGGGCTTAGGGCAGCGCAAGGGATCTACTGCCTTGGCTCTGTCTGAAGGCTGAAGGAATGTAGTAGGGGGTCGGAATACTTAGTAGTAGTGTCACCCTAGATAGTTGCACCCTTATATCTCCAGAAAAGCCGATTCTAGCTAGTAAGGTCAAGGAGCTATCGGGGTTGATGGGGTTGAAGCTTTGATATCCTTTGACCGGGTTTAGTGTTTAAGGTGTGATATGTCATGGTGGTTGGGCATTCAAACGGGATGGCATCTTAGTCTTCGGCCGCGGTCCCCTAAACCTTACTTCTCCGAATTCATCCCTGAAGCCCTAAACCCGAAGCCTTGAAGCACTAAAGCCGCTAAAGCCGAAGGGCGCTTTGTGGCCCAAACGAAGGACCAATAGGGAACCCCAGTGCCCCCAAAAGGTTCCAGGCCCTCTTTAAGGTGCGGGGTTCAGGTTTGCGATGTTAGGATTTGTGGCCTTTGGATTTTGGCTTTAAGTTCTTGTCTTGGGTGCAATGTTGAGGGGTTGAGCTGTTTAGTTTCTTCGGGCTTGCTCGAGCAGGAAACGGCTCCAAAGCTCAACATCTACTCTGGGGCTCTGCTGACGAACACTAGGGACATGATTGCTTCTAAACTTCATGCCGTGGAACCTAAACCTAAAGCTGCACAGGTACACCAGAAGCTCTGAGCCATAAAGATTTCAAAGGTTGCAACTTCATGCCGCTCCCTCCCCCAAGCCACGAGCTTGCTGCTGCCTCGACGGAGAAAGACACCCACCTATTGTAATTATAGTCAAAGCCTTATTCTACTCCTTACTATAACCTCACATCCTTATACCTTCTTATTTAATCCCCAAGAGGAACCCTTAAGGAACCCTCTTCTTTTTATACGTGTAGCATGCTATGCCTAAACCCAAATCCAGAACCCCCTGCTTGCTTCAGGGCAGCTTCCTCCTGAAAAAGGTACGATTTTCCGGATCAAGGCACCTGAGTTGAGGGTTCAGGGGCTTCGGTGTTTTCAAAGGCTTCGGTAAGGCTGATGCGCCATGTTTGGCATCGAAGAGCTCCGAGCCTCAACGCTTAGCCAGAGGGAGAGGCTACACTGTATGCTGCGATGCCTTGACATGTTCCGTAGCATTTCACCGATGACCTGGTCTCTTCGATGACCATAAGCGCAGCGGTCTCTCGTGGCATACCCCCAATAATGCAGTTCGTCTCGCAAGTTAAAGTCGCCGCTGACATGATTTTCAGGAATGTTTCTGGAGTCCATGGCTGCAGAAGCCAGAGGAGTTTCGAGTTTGGTTTCAAGGGCCGCAGTTGTTCGTTATTGCGTGTTTCTGGCCTGCAGGCTGCAGTCACGGGGTGTACTGCGCTAACCAAAAACCCCCTATGTCGAAAGCATGCGCCGATTCTCCAGCCAAGAGGCGATTCTGGCCGTCAAGGGTCATCCCTACAAGCACGTGTTCCATGCAGCCACTCGGGAGCATGCTACTACTACTACTACTGCTACTACTACCACTACTGCTACTACTGCTATTAACACTACTACTACTACTACTACTACTACTACTACTACTACTACTACTACTACTACTACTACTACTACTACTACTACTACTACTACTACTACTACTACTACTACTTCTACTGCTACTACTACTACTACTACTACTACTACTACTACTACTACTGCTACTACTACTGCTACTACTACTACTACTACTACTACTACTACTACTACTACTACTACTACTACTACTGCTAGGGGTGAAGTGTTTAGGTTAAGGTCGGCCTGTCCTACCGTATCATAGTGCCCGTTAAAGCCCCCCAAAGTAGGTAGAATAATGGCCTAATACCTATAAAAGGCCGTTATTCTACACACTTTGGGGGTCCAGGTAATAGCTATAGTACCTGGTGAGCAGGATTTGGAGATTCGAAAGAGCAGCCGGCTCCTAGAGCCTGCAAACCCTATATCCCAAGCCATGTGGTCTACTAGGCAAAAAGCGAAAGCAATGTTGAACCCGTTATAGTATGAAAACCCGCAAAACCCTATTGTACTTTTCTTAGGCCCAGATAATAAAGAGGGGGAAGTTGCTTGCCTGGTCATGATACCATCTACAGGATCACAGATTCCTCGCGAAAGGTGGTGCTTAGACTTTGAGAACTTCAGAAGAGTGTCCCCACTTCAGAACTCATAACCCAGACTTCCAAGAGGATCTAGAAAGTAGATCCCTTAATTTGGGGCCCTATACTACCAAGGGTACTTTATAGGAACCCCCGTTAAGGGATCTGCTTTTTGGATCCTCCCGCGGGGGTCCCTACAAGGAAAGGAACTCCCAACATGAGGTCATGGACGTCAGCGACGAAGATGACGCGGGACCTTGGGCAGAGGGTGAGAAGAAGGCGGCTGAAGTTGGGACCCGGAGCATCGGATGACCTGCTATAGGAGAGGTGCCTAAAACCAAAAGAGGGTTCTTAAAAAGGTTCCTATTAGGGTTACTATAGGAGGTATGATGGGGGTGTAATATCGGGGTCGGGGCCTAAATAATTACCAATACTATTTTAGGGGAACCTTATTATCATTCTAGTACAATGGACTTCAAAACCCTATTCTAACTATTTAGGCCCCTATAGCACTGCTCTGGGGTTCGGAGTACCCCTATTCTGAATCCGAAAACTCGAAACAATGAAACCCAAAGACCTTTAAAACCGAAACCCCTGGCCGCCAAGCCCTCTATGAACACATGGGCACACTTGTGACTTCGTTTTTTCATGCATGTGTATATGTATATATATATATATACATATATATATATATATATATATATATATATATATATTAGGCTTTCTCAAATTCCCTGCGCCCCAGAACATGGCACAAGCCATCGAAGCTCTGTGGCTGCAAGCCTGCAATAACCAGAAGCATGAGGGCTGAGGCTTCAGCACTTCCTCGTCGTAGCAGTCTTCTGCAGACCTTACAAACCCTGTAAAGTCTATCTATTAGCGAAGCCCAGCCTACATTAACCCTAAGCCAGGGTTGGCTTAACTTGAACCCGAAACAGTACAGGAACCCTGAACCCTAAACTCTCAAAATGCATCCCCTGTGGGTGCATGTATCCTGGTGTGGGTTTGAGTGTTTCGGGTTTACGGGCTTGAAGCTCTGGGTTCATGCGCAATGCGTTTGATGCCTAGGAATGGGAGGTGTAGAATTTGAGGTACAGCTTTTGGTTTGGGTCTCCCTCAACCCTGTTATATACGGAACTTCTATATATAAACTTTTCATGCCAAGTATCGTAAGGCATATAGTATCCCTCCCAGTAGCCCTCATAATTTAAGGCCTTAAGTCCTTGCAATGCACTAATCGTTTTTCTGTGCTCTCAAGCGCATAAGCTGCTTAGACAGGTCCGAGGCAGCAGGCAAGGACTACTGGGACCCTGTGCTACCAACACCACCAGGGCCACCACGACCATTACCACTACCTCCATTACCACTACCTCTCCTGCTGCTGCTAGCGCCACTGCTTGTACCAATGATCATCGTGGTTCTTGCGTGTCAGGCGTTTGGGCGCAGTGTTCATGAGATCTTGATCCCTTTAAATGTCGCTCGAATTGTCCAGCGCCAGGTTTCCAAGATTGTGTTCATCGGCAAGGCCGTGCCCTTGTTCATATGGGGGGCCTTAAGAATTACCTATACTATCTTGTCATTTCCTAATAACAATAGTATAATGTACCCCCCCTAAACCCTATTCTAATTAGCAAGGCCCCCTGTATTATTATTATAGATCCCTTATAGTAGCCCCCCTTTAAAGGACCCCTTTAAAGGAAGCCTGTTCCAATTATCAAGACCCCTATCCCTCCGTCTCTTCATCGGAGCCTCAAGCCTCTCGTTGAACAGCCCATTGAGAGCTTGCAAGGAGGATCATGGGACTTAGTAAGTAAGGTCATAAGTACCTTAATTGGGGTTATACGTGGTTATAAGTAGAGTTACCCTAATTATAACCCTAAGTTACTAAGTCCCATGATCCTTTAAGTGGGATCTGCTGCATGCGCAACGAAGTTGGCAACTCGCAGCATGCACCTCTCTGTGTCTCTTCCCCTAAACCCTAAACCCTAAACCCCAAACCGTCCACCCCTTCA